CAGGTAGTAATCAAATCAGAATGGATATCATAGTGAATCATTGTCATTTTCAGTATAGCTGTCTATACTCCTCAACTTGTTACCATCAACCTTACAGTTTTGACTAAAATCTGTCAATAATAAGCAGCAATCAAACAAGTCAGGTTTAACTAATATCAGTCATGATAGATAGTATAAGTCATACAGGGATCCTGATTGAGTTAATAGGGAATTAAAGATGTCCCCTATGCTATTCACAGCTGTCTGTGCCTCTCAGATCCAGTGCTTATATACAAACTATGACAAAACAAGTTCCACCAAGCCGAGTGGTGTGAGTAATAAGAGTTTTAATTCCTGATACACTATTAGCTATATCTTCGGCTGGTTTTTTTTTTTTTTTTTTTTTTTTTTTTTTTTTTTTGAGGACTATTCCTCCCCTTTATTCCCCCAGAATGAACTGTGTATTTTTGGGTCTCCCCAACACTTATGGTTTTGTATTGGGGGGCAACCAACTTAATCTGGAGTCCTGTATGACTTGTACTATTTTATCACAATTGATCTCAGTTAAATCTGGTTTGTTTGATTGCTGTTTGGTATTGACAGATTTTATTCAAAACTGTTATTGATCATATCAAGTCTGAGAGTATAGGCAATTACATTGAAGATGACAAGACTCACTGTGATACACATTCTGGTTTGATTACTACCTGCTTTTGACACTATTTACAAAGTTGTGTTTTTATTAATACTGTTATGTACTGATATTCAATTATATTATGTCTGATGATATAGCCAATTCTATTGAAGATAACAAGAGTTAACACAGTAACCATTGTAGAACTCCTTGTATAGTGGGGTTTTTTTATGTTTTGTTACATGTGTTTATAGGAATATGTTTTGTTTTGTCTTGCTTTGTTTTGTTTCTCCCTCTAATATAGAAAAGATAGAAATACATGTATGTGTAGAACCTATGCATGAGTAGAACCTATAGTCTATGAGAACTGATCTTACAATGCATAATGAAATGAACAAATACTTTGAAGAAAAAGAGAGTGAACAGTACCCAGTGCTGATCCCATAGTGTCATGATGTGAAATCCAGCAATACTATTGTTCTTTGTTCAGAGTGATTTAAGCCTGCTTGGGTTAGTTTAATCTCAACATAAATGAAGATATGAATAACTGCATGTATGTTGAAGGATATAGGATTTATAACCATATTACTAAGTTTTTGTTGAATAGTTGAACAGAACTGTTTGCAGTCTTGCTGTTTGAAATCCCACCTTATATGTTCCACTTTTGTATTTGAATAACTATTTGTATGAGGATAATATGTAAACATCATCTAGTGATTTGTTACTGTTTATTTTTTCTTTGAAAGTATGTATTATTTCTACCTGTTTTCTGTTTTGTTTAGTCTCTCTTTAAATAAAATTTAAAAAAAAAGGAAATCAACCAATATCAAATACTGGTGGTACTGTAGAAGAGGGAACACTTCTCAGTTGTTGGTGAGAATGTAGGCTGGTGCAACTGCTGTGGAAATTAGTGTGCAGATTTCTCAAAAAACTAGGAATAGAGGTCCCATTTGATCCACCTATTCCCCCTTTGGGTATTTTCTCAGAAGAACTGAAAACATTATACCACAGTCATATATGTGCACCCATATTTACAGCTTCATAATTTGTTACAGCCAGATCTTGGAAACAACCCAAATGTCCTTCAACTGAGGAAAGAATAGAAATCACATGGTATTTTTATATAATGGAATGCTACTGAGCCATAAAGAATGAGGCTAAGCAGGCTCATATTGAGGCTTTTATAGGTAAATGAATTCTACTAGACACCATACTCATAAATAAAATAAATCAGACTTGTATATATAAACTCTATATTATCTCACTAGTTTAAGAAACTGAAAGAATAAATAAGATCTAAAAGCTATAATAAATATAATAAAATGGAAAGAAACTGCTTGAAGGGAATTTATATTATTTGATCAATTTCGCATGACTGTATCTGGTAACCTGAGCAACTATTTTGAAGATTACTATATGCAATAAAACAATGATGGTTAAATTCCTATCATCTTGGTTTGAAATTCCATAACACTATTGCTTTTTGTTGCTGTTATCATTTTGTTTTTGTTTGTTTGTTCCTTTATTTTTCTGTGTTTTTCTCACTTTAAACTAAAACAAAAAGGTAACCCTTGCCTGCATCCCAGGTGATTGATGATCCAGATGTTCAGGAACATTTTACAGACTTCTATGAGATTTTAGGCATGTTAAAATGGTTTCCATGATAACTTAGGAACTTACAGATTCCAGGAAAGGTGCTGAGGTTGCCATAGTTACTGAGAAGGTAGACAAACTTCTGGAGAACACAGACTGTGGATATGTGGAATTCTGATAATCTGACCGTATCACCCAGTTGGCTGACTAAAAGTTGCTTATTTCTTGATTCTCAGATTTTTGTGGGTAATTGCTCACTAATTTTGTTGCAACACTAGCAATGGAAGGAAATATTTGTAAGCCATATAACTGAAATATTATTATTATTCAAAATCCATGAAAACTCAACTCAGTAGCAAGAAAGCAACTCATTTAAAAATGGACTAAAGCATTGAGGAGATAGTTACTAAATGAAGAGTAAATCTGTAACAAATATATGTAAAATAGTGAATAATTATGCAAATTCAAATTAAAATAAAAAAGCACTCATACCTATCAAAACAGTTGTTTATGAAAAATGTGGAAAATGCTGATGAAGATATTGTAAAATGGAAACCACTGTTGAGGAAATGAGAAATTTAAATTTTCTCTAGAGAAAGCTCATGTTTCTTCTAAAATCTGGAAATAGACATACTATATCAGCTAACAATTATACCATTAGGTATTTTTATGTTTTGAATCTAGTGCCTCCTCCAAATATCACACAGTTGTAGGACTTTTTCAGAGGTGGCTGAATTTATTGTGTGTGATGCTGGGATTAACGGTGTGGGGTAAAATCAATCCACTGATTGGTTAGTCATAGTTCTGTCTAGGTTTAAGAGTGTCAGTGCTACTCTTGCCCTCGGGCAGTTAGCCTGAATATAATATAAGCAAAAGAAAGAGTATTTCCCCCTCCCATAACTTGTTGCTTTTGCTATCTTGTCAGTGCCATGAACTGTTTTCTTTTATGTTGATCCAGTGTCAAGACAGCCTTGTAACCAGCCAATTATGGACTGAAACCTCTACAAACTGTGAGCAAAATAAACCTTTCCTAGTTTAACTTTGGCTGCCAGGTAGTTTGTCTCAGAAACTAGAGAAAAGTAACTAAGACAGAAGTTTGCTACAAAGAGTGAGGACATTGTGTGTCATTACCTAGACATGTGGTTCCAGACCTTTGGAACTGGCTTGTGTGAAGGGGAAGAGATAAGAAAGGTTCAGACTTATCAGCTTAAAAGGTAGTTATGGAATGATTAAGGCTGTATTTGTTAGGATATTCTACTGAATGGTTGGAAGATCAGAAAACTGATAGAAATTCTACCAGTAAAGTCCAAGCTTGGAAGGTTTATGCTGGAAAGAAGGACTGTATTGGTTGCTGGACTCAAGATGATGTGTGTTAAGCTTGGATGAAAGTTTGTATGCTTTTGCTAATGTCCAGAAACTTTGGCTGAGACTGAGATTAAGGGTAGTGGACCAATTAATCATACAAAAGACATTTCAATGCGGTTGAATATTGAGGCAGTGGCAAAGCTACTGTTGGGACTATTAGCTAGAACTATGTTGTGAATCAAGAACAAAAAGTCCAGTAAAATGATATAAAACCTTGTGAGATTGGCCAGAAAGGAAGCTCCAGTAAAGTTGTGGGCTGCAATGAGAGAACAGGAAAGTTCTTGTTTGCTGAGCAGAAATAAAATAGAAAAGCTGACCTGAGGATATCCCAAAATGTAACAGGGCTTCAGGCTTTACAGTCTCAATATTGCAAATCCCAAAGATTTTCCTTGAGAAAAGAATCCCAGATTATCATGTTCCCAAATAGTGGTGGACTATACAATTTGCTCCTCATAATTTGATTCAGAGTGCTTAATGATCCAAGCACTTGACCCCTACAACCAAGAGAGAGGGAAGCTTGGCTACTTCTCCAGGCAGCAGCAGTCCTTGGCATCATCCACATGGTGTTGCTTTTAGGTGAGTGTAGAATGAAGAGTTGGAGGTCAGGAAGGCTTCCTCATAGGCTTCAGAAGACCTTGGAAGCTATTCAGTGTATGCCTGAAAGGTCAGTGTGTGAAGCTATGGGTGTAAAGCTAAACCTAGAAGTTTGGAGAAATCAGGAACATGGATTGTCTGGGAAAAACTGCAAGGGGGAGGTTAATGTGTCCCAGGGAGAAGTCATGGGAGTTACAACCACTGGAAGTAATGTAGGGGCAGAGCCAACCATGCCTTTTGGAGCTCACATCTTGCCACAGAATGTCTGAGATGCCGCACTTGGAAGTAAAGGATTTAATATTTGTCTTGCTGGATTTTATACTTGCTTTGGTTCCATTTCTTTGTATCTCTATATTTGTAACTCTTGAAATAGAAATATCTATCTTGTTCCCTTTAATGCTAGAAGTGTTTAAGTTTCTTTTCATTTGTATAGAGGCTCATGGCTCAGAGTTTGCCTTAAATCCTAAAGGAAATTTCGGACTTGAGACTGTGTTTCAGCAATGCTGAAACAGGTAGGACTTTCTTAACACTTGGGGATGGATAAAATGCTTTTTCCATAAAAGGACGTATATGAGTCTTTGTCAGGATCAGTGTCATAATATTATTGTTTGGGTCTAGATGCCCCCAAAGCCTCATTTGTTCAGAGGGCTTTTTCAAAGTTGGCTGTATCTAGAATGTGTGATGCTTAGATAAAGGTGTATAATTAATAGATCATTCTACTGATTGGTGTAGGTAGAGAAATGAATTCACTACAATGAAGGAAAGTTATTTGCACTCTATGTTTATTGAAGCATTGTTCATAATACTGCTGAGACAAAATACCCAACATCCAAAGTTAAAAGAAGAAAGGTTTATTTAGCTCAGGATCTGTAGAGGTTTCAATCCACAATTAGCAGGCTCCAAGTCAGGGTGGGATGGTGCACAAGCATCTGAGAAAAGAAATAGTTCATGAAAGACAAAAGGTAGCTAAGTGACAATAGAAGCTTTTAATTATCCCTTTTATATTCTATCTAGTCTACCCACTTTCTTCCCTTAGGACATGTAGCACTCACACCCAAAAGTCTGCCAAACCAATCAGTGGGCTGATTTATTAATCACACACCTTTAATCCCAGCATCACACACTCTAGATCCAGCCACCTCTGAAAAAGCTCCACCTATGACAGCATGAGGTTTTGGAGTGACATGTAGACACAAGCCATGACATCAATATATGAGCTTATTCCATGTCAACCAATGGATGAAAAGTTAAAATACACACACACACACACAGAAGGATGGGGAAATATTCTATTTTTAAAAAGAAAGCTATTATATGGTCATTTTTATAAAGTTGATAAACCTAGAAGACATTATATTAGCAAAAAGAACTGGTCATGGAGAAACTCATGCTTCTTAGGAAAGCTTGTGTAGCCAGTGAAAGTTTTTGAGGTTTAACTACTAGCAACATAAGTACTCAAAGAATGCAGAATTACTTCAAGTTTTCCTTTCATGACAGTCTCAAAGCAGCAGCACTAATGAGCTTCTTGCAAGATGCTCATCAATATCCAGAAGTTTTTTTGAAGTTGAATGTTAACAAAACCCTAAACATAGGAAGAAAACTTCAAGAGGAGGATCATCAGATAAATTCCAATATCAAGGCTGTTTTTTAGACAGAAGCAGGTTATCACCTCTCCCTGGTACTATGTACAACTCAGACATAACAAACATCCCAAATTTGGAGCATATCTAACTCTCTAAGGGAAAAAGCTGATACAAAAGAAGCATCGGTTTCAATATTCAGCACCCAATTGTCCTAACTCTCTTTCTTTGGGGAGATGAAGCCCAAGAAGCAAGATATTTGTAAAAAAAAAAAAAAAAAGTCTTTTTGTGGCATGAGGAATGCATAGGTCAATGAACCACTCTTAGAGTGGTGACTACAATAAGATCTGTGTATCTTAGAGACAAAAAGAGACAAGGACACCATCATGAATAAAGACACAGAAATAGACACTGAACAATCTGTGACACTGTTAAGAACAAGCATGCAGTGACTAAGGCTAATATGATCTAGGGATGGATAAAAGACCCTGGAGCAGTGCTAGAGTGGATATTTTATCCCTTAACACTGACACACACTGTGTTATGAGCCACATTGCCTACTGCCTACATTCCAAGTGGCACAGAAATCTGCACACCTGTGTGAGCTGCAGCCTACAGCCAACAAAAGTACCTCAGCTTCAGGCCCATGTACATTCTTGCCATTGGCTCCCAAAGCATTCTGAATTCCAAGTAGATGTGCACTCCTCTGCAAAGCAGAAAACACATTGTATCTATAGGTGGTATAGAGATTATTTGAAAGGAGTGTGATGTGGGTAGAAAACCAAAGAAGAGCATTGGGATGAATAGATATTGCATAGTGCACTCACCTGGAAAGACAGAAAGAGATATAACTTCTCCAAGAAGGACTGTGCAGGAAAGGACATCAAAATTGAGGAAGTCCATCAAGAGGTCAAAGACTGAATGCTTGACCAGTCTTGTTATATCATATCATTTCTGATACATTTAAAGTCTGATCATGCTACACACAAAAAAGTTTTGCCCAGTGACACCAAAGGGAACACACCTGATACCTAATGTAGTTTTGCCTTCAGAGGTAATGAGAAGCTCAGCAATCTGCCAAGAACCCTAATCCCCCTCACACACTGGTAGTCAAGTGAAAAACCTTTAGGAGAGGAAACAGCCAATCACAGAGAAATGGAGTCCAGTCCCCCCAAACTCCTACAAGATAAACTCTCTGTAACATTGTAAGGAGAAGTGTACACTAGTTTGGACTGAATGGACTATTGACTTTTGCATGTTTGTATGTGTATGTAATTTTTCCTGATTTACTTTTCTCCTCTAGCCATATATATGTGAAAAAATAAAAGCTAACTAGTAGATTAATTTGAATAGTATCTTTTAAAATCATGTTCGGCTAGCCCTCACTAGAAATTTAGTGTGGAGGATCACACACAACCATTCTATTAGCTATTAATTGGTTCTGATTTTCTTACTGCTTCCCCTGCCCTTATACTTCCTTTCTTTCTTATTCTTGCTCTTTTAACCCTCCTTCCATTCCAGACATAGCAATAATATTCCTAAAATTGTATCTTTTTTTTTCATTTGCTACTATCTCCAAGACATAGCAATAATATTCCTAAAATTGTATCTTTTTTTTTCATTTGCTACTATCTCCCTTTTCTTCTTCCCTATTTTCAAAATATTTTCTTTCAGTTTTCCCTATCCTTTACATGCCAGAATAATTATCACTTCTACTAAATTATTTTTTAAAAGGGTGAACTCATTGTAGATGCTAATTTAATTGATAATTCATCTTTCCTTGAATCCCAGGTACCAGGATGGATCTTATTATATTGATTTGTTTGACAAAAAAGATATAACAAAAATCAAGGTCACATCCCAGGTAGAAAAACAGTAACTAATGAGATTTTTACAGTACAAAAGATTTTGTCTACTCAAATTGATATTCAAATCTTGGCTCAAAAAGAATAGAAACATAAGAAAATGAAGCAAGAAAGATGCTGCCAAAAACTTTTAAATTCTATATAGGAAGTTGATCCAGTGTACATGACACATATTAATTCTTTGTTTCATCCCCTTTCCCTTACTCCCTCCCACCTCGAGCCATCCCCTGATCCTTTCCCTTATTTTTCTGATAATAAACTAAAATGACAAAGCAAGAAATAACAAATGAAAAAGCTCTTAAAATGCCAGAAAGCTGATCTCATTGGCACCAAAGTTGAGGAAGATTTAGACAAATAATTCAAAAACCAATTGTTGAAACAATTTGAAGAGATTAAATAACAAATAAATAAGCACATTTACATGGTACTCAATGAGGTTTAAGAGGGGTAGCTAACAAAGAATTTAAATAAGAAAACTTTAACTAACTTAAGAAAGACATCAGGAAGAAGATTCTCAGAAAACTACAACCAGAAATTTCATTTGGTCCAACTCTTCACCTTTTAGCAACCTTTTCAGAGTTAAAGATATTATATTACAATAATACATTCATAACTGTATTTATACCAATACACTACATAATAGCTACAACTTGAAAGTAGCCCATTTGTTCATCAATAGATAAATGAATAAAATATATTTATACACAACAGCTTACTACTATGCCATAAAGAATAAAATTAAGTCATTTGTAAGTCATTAAGTCATTGTAAAATGGATCCACCCAGAGACCAATAACTTTAATTGAAATGAGACACACAAGCTTCCATATCACAGTCTCTCTCATATGAGAAATATAAAACTTAAATAAAGAGCAAAATAAAAGATATGCAATAGGAAACTGAGAATGATCCTTTACAAATAAGAAGGAGAACAAGAGTGGATGTAGAAATGAGGGAGGAAACCAGAAGACAAAAAGAGTGAGATGTATTTTTTACACATATCAACTCCACATGAGTAATGTTGTAATTGTGTACTGTAAACATGCACTAACAAGCCACACCCAGCCAACTTCAAGCAGTAAGCAGGACCTGGAATCCAGTCCTGGGCCCCCACGCATGTGGGTTGAATTTCAGTGCACTGGGAAACTTTGGAACTTTGCTCCCTGGTGGTAAGACCACACCCTGCATCTGAAATCACCCTAAGACACACAGGAGGTATCAGCAGGTCTAACTGAGCCATGTCCACCCATCTCCAAGCAGCAAGCAGGGCCCAGAATCCAGTCCCAGGACCTAACCACATGCAGTTTGAATTCCAGCCCACAGGGAAAACTTGAAATTTTGATCCTAGGTGATAAGACCATGTCCTGCATCTGAAATCATCTTAAGATGCATGGAAGGTATCAGCAGGCCTAACCAGCCCATGCCCAGCAAACTCTAAGTAGCAAGCAGAGCCTGGAATCCATTCCTGGGCCCTGATCTCATGAGGGTTGAATTCCAGTGCACGGGGAAGCCTTAGAACTTTACTCCCAGATAGTAAGATCATGACCTGTGTCTGAAATCACCAGAGGAAACACAGAGTCCCCACGGGCCCAACTGGCCCATACCCAGCAAGATCCAAGTGGCAAGCAGCTGCCAACAGTCTGCACTGGGAGCTAAAAGTGGGCCAGGTGAGCCCCAGTGCACTGAAGAAGCTATGAAACATGGCTCAAAACCTGGAAATAGGCAGGACTCCAGCCAGCACTGAGGAACACCATGCTGCCTTGGGACACTGACCTGCACTCAGTGAATGCCCAGATCCAGGATATCTGCAGGCCCCTCAGGGACACTGTCTGCCTCCTGGGCCTAATACTGCTGTTGATCTTCGGCTCCTACCTTTTCTCCCAGAATCTTGGACTATAGCAGATTAACTGTGCTAGCTTGAAGGGAGATTTAGTAACTGCCTCACCCAAACAGAAGATCTCAGCAGGCTTCACTCAGTGTGGTGAGTATGCTCCTAAAATAGAGATGCACAGTGGGTAAATAGGGTTAGTAGTAAAGCTCCCTCCAACTAAGTGTAAGATCTTGGTGAGTCTGGCAAGACTTCTTGACCCCTTCCTGCGCACAAAAAAAAAACATCAGGCTGGGTGAGGAGTGTGAAAATAAGGACTCCCCAACTTGGATAAAGTCAAAAGGGATTATGAGACACACAGGCACACAATAGGGACACAGCAGGGCCTCAGCCAACACAAACACTACAGAAAGGGAGAATTGGTGACCTGGAATAACCTGAAGACAAAGTAATAGCAGGAACTAAAAGCTGACCTGCATCAATACTACTAGGCTTGTCAGCCCAGGAAGAATATAGGACTCACCAAACAGACCTTGCAGTGGGAAGTCAGATGATTTGCTCATCTCTTCATTGAGGGACCCAGTAACTGAACAAATATCAATCTTTCATTAGGACCCCAAAATACACACTACCAACAGTTGACACTAGTGAAATTAAAGGACCAAATACTAACTCAAAAAAGGAAAATGGTAAAACAAAAAAGCAAAAAGAATCCCAAACACCTAGTTCACCAGGAACAAGTATGAAGACATTGAAATAGAGGACTTCGGGCTGGGGATTTAGCTCAGCGGCATAAGCGCCTGCCTTGCAAGCAGGCAGTCGTGAGTTCGATCCCTGGTACCGATAAAAAAGAGAAAGACAAAAAAAAGAAAAGAAAAGAAAAGAAAAGAAATAGAGGACTTCAAAAGTAACACACTGGAAATCTCTGAAAAGATAACAAGTAAAAAAAAAAAACTCCATGATGCTACAGAGGAAATCAGATTAGAAGTACTATCCCATGTAAAGATAGAAATAACAATCTTAGTAAAGGAGTTGCTGAGCACAGCTAAAGAAGAAATAGAAGAAAAAGTATGGGAGCATGGGAAACTGATTGAAATCTTGAATGAACAGTATTGAAAACATGCAGAATTCATGAAACAAACTCAAGGAGACCTCCAAGAAACAAAAAATTTTAGGCAAAGCTGGCAAAACCATTTAAATAAAGCTGAGGATAGGATTTTTGATCTTCAGGACAGCATCACAACTAGCAATCAAGAAAGGATAGAACCTTTTAAAAAGCACACCATGAAATGACAATCCAGCAGCTTCAAGATGATGCCAAGAACAACAATATAAGGTTACTAGGCATCAGTGAAAATGTAGGAGTCAATGCAAATGACAACTAAAATGTTCACAAAAATAATAGCAGAAAATTTTACAAACACGGGGAAAAATCTGCTATGCAGATAAATGAGGCATATAGAACCCAAGCAGTCACAACCAACATAAATCTACACCCAGACATATAATAATTAAGATCTCAGACATACAGCATAAAAACAGAATGGTAAAGTCTGTTAAAGAAAAGACACAACTCACCTATCAAGGAAACCCCATTAGAATCACAACAGACATTTCAGCACAAGCCCTCAAGTCAAGACCAGTCTGGAGTGAGGTATTTCAAGCTCAGAAAGAAAACAACTTTCATCCCAGACTGATGTACCCAGAAAAATTTTCATTCAAATTTAATGGAGAAACAAGATACTTCTATGACAAAGAACAAATTCACCTCCAAAAACCATCCCTAGAAAGAGTATTGAAACACATACTAGACAGATATAAAAATGACCATAATCACCAGAACAACAACATAAAGAAACCACCAGGTAGTACAAGGAATTAAACCAGGGGGAAAAGCAGAAAGCAAACAACTGGAACATAACATAGCAAAGTTGAGCCAGTACATACCAATGATATCCATAAAAGTAAATATGCTCAATTTACCTATCAAAAGAATTAGGTTGGCAGAATGGATCAAGAAACATGATTCCACAGTATGCTATACACAAGAAATGTATCTGACCCAAAAAGAAACTCACAGATTAAAAGTCAAAGTATCCTATTAAGTCAGGTTAATTGGTGGTGAGGCACTAGGTTGCTGAAAGTGTCATGCTTTAACCTGTACTGTTATGTTGTTATGCCCCCTTTTATCTCAACCTCTCCCTTATTCATTAAAAAATTACTTAATTTTTTAAATTTCTTTTTTAAACTAAGGGGAAAAATCAAAATCTAGCAGGATATATTATAGTAACTTATTTGATTTCTTATCAACTTGAAGTCTTGTAATACCCCGTTATCTTGTTTTGACTGATTAGACTCTATTCTGCTCTGTATGAAAGTATCAAGTATCAGAGTATAGACAACTACTTTGAAGGCAATAAGATTCACTATGATGCCCATTCTGGTTTGACTATTATCCTCTTTTGAGGTTCTGTAAGATTTACAAAGTTTAGGTTTTATTGGTCTTGCTCTCTACTGTTTTGTTTAACTTTATAATACCTAATGAGATAAACAATTCTTCTTAAGGAAGCAAGAGGCATTATGGTAACCATTGTTGATAACCTTGTACTCTGTTTTTACATCATGTGCTATGTCTATCCTTGGTTTTGACTGACAGCTTTGCTTTATTATGCTTGATTTTACTCTCTTACAAAAAAGTAATAAAATCTAAGGGAGCAATAAAACCCAAAATGTGTAAATTTTGTTGTAATAAAGAGAGGGAAAGAAAAGTGCCCTGAAGGATACAACAGCAAGGGCATTTAGTTGTGTTACATAGAAGACTATATTAATATTTTTGATTGGATTACTGAACACAACTGTTCGCAGTCTCACTGTTTGAATGTTCACTTTGTGTGCTTTGATCCTGTGACCTGAAACACCGCTTCTAAGATGATAGTGAGTAATCTATTAACTGGTGATAGCTTACTGTTTTTTTTTTTTTTTAGTTCTGAATTACTTGTACCCTTACACTGTTTTGTTTTGTTCTGCTTTTTTTCTCTTTTTCCTTTTAAATAAAAAAAAAAAAAAAAGTCAAAGGATGGAAAATAGTATCCCATGCAACAGGAACTGAGAAAAAAGCAGGGGTAACTATCCTATTTTCAGACAACATGAACTTGAAACCTAAAATGATTAAAAGAGATGAAAGTCAATACATGCTCGTTAGTGCAAATATTAAAGAGGAAGAAGTAACAATTATAAATATATATGCACCAAACACAAGAGCACCTAACTATATAAGACAGATACTAATGGGCATGAAAAACCAAATACATAAGAACACAATTAAAACAAGTGACCTTAATACTACATTGCCACAAAGAGATAGATCAACTAGACAAAAGTCAGCAAAGAAATAACAGAACTAAATCATACCTGCAAGCAATTAGACTTAGTAGATGTTTATGGAGTATTCCACCCAACCACATCAGAGTACACTTTCTTCTCAGCTGCACATGGGACATTCTCCAAAGTAGACCATATATTATTCCATAAAACATTCTTAAGTAACTGCAAAGGTACTGAAATTATACCATGTGTAA